GGAAGACGTTAAGGGCCTTTTGTGGTCAGCAGTGTCTTTCACATTCAACCACCAGTGTTTCGCGCAGGCGTTCGATCTCGCTACCACAGCTTGCGAGAGACGGCTCGCGCGCTGGATAGGGATATTGAGGCACCCGATGAGCTACCGACGACTCCTCATCGCGACAGACACAGCCCGCCTAGGCTCCTCTACCCATCCTCTACTATCAGGCCAGCTCCTACTTCGACGCCACGCAAGATCCTTACACCCGCTGCACCGAGAAGGCTGATCATCGACATTGCTCAATTTCGACACTCCCAGCTCCCATCGCGCCTTCACGCAGCGCTTCGAGCCGCAGAAGCGCGACCGTGCATGAGCCACGGACAGACCCGCAGAGGGCAGGCAGGCTCACTCTGCTGCGCTAAGCTGTATTCGAAGCCTCACCGGCCGCATCGACCGCACCGAGACGTGCAGGCTGGAAGGTCTCAAATGTCGGGCTTGCAGACGGACGAAAACGTTCTCCACGCATGGGAACGCCTGCACCTGTGCACGGGCTACGCTATCATCTGCCATAGCAGCGCCGCCGACCTTGTCCGTACGGAGCGCGGCCAGCGTCGTATCCGCAGCAGGCTTCTGGACGAGAGTCAGACGACTGGTCACTACACACGAGCGCTGGAGAGCTCTACGCTACTGGATTACCTCCTGCAAGGCGATCGCATCTCGGCAAATGGTCCCCTCTGCTCATGAAATAGCCGACTCAGAGGACACGTTGGTGTCAGAAACCCTTTCTGTTCCAACAAGATCGCGATCCAGTGATCGGCGCACCTTCTTTTCGCGTTATATATGAGTCTTGCTGAAGACATGTGGAATGCAGAGCGAGGTGTGCACTCGACCCGGAGTCGATCGGCATTGCAGCAGTGGTGACTTGCATCTTTTGGACTACATCGCTCTCCTTGGCTAAACTTATTTGCTGGTGAAGCAGGGCAACACCAGCGTCTCAATTTTTTCTGGTGGATTGTCCATTGGCCAAGTAGGAGGCAGTAATGGCAGTTCGGTACGATCCACCACAAGCCGCGCCATCATTCGCGCTTAAAGTGTCCTGCAGCAGCAGCCGCCTCCTACTCAGTCTCATCTCATTCAGAGGAAACCTTAATTTCGAGTCGCATTGAGCACAAGTCAGGCACTGCCTCTGCCATAACATATACTCGGCCAGCTCTCTTGCGGCCTCGACCGGCATCTTGCTCTGTTCACTTGATTCGAGAGCCGTCCCGCTTTCACTGGATCCGAAGGACTGCGCACTACAGCGTGGGTCTGCTGTGTCACTGCTACAAGCGCTTCTCGATGGAGAGACCAGGGCATTCGGGTGATTTGGTCAACGTCCACCTCTTGGCGAGCCTGGGTCTCTTTCGCTCAGCCAGCAGCTCTTGTCTGCGCTAATTTGAGCATGCCAACGCAACGAAGGCGCGTCCTCAAGGCATTATGCAAAGGCCGGATCAGGAACGTCGGAGCCCTTTCCTGTATGTTCTCGAGATTCTGCTCGTCTGAGTTCAGGCCACTCCCACACCCCGTCGGACTCAGCGTCTGGCAAACCCACGCGTCGCTTGGTGCAGGTGGTCGTCTCACTTACGAAAGCGCATAACGGACCGTGCTCTACTTATCGGATGCGACGGATTGCTCTCGGAGTCTTCGACCCACTTCAGCTGCAGAAGAGACACTATTGTGCTCTCCGCAAACACACGCTCCAGGAATTTGACTGTTCCGGAGCCATTCGCGCGTGCTCGTCATCAGCAGCTATGGCTCTGGTCTGTGTGGTACTGTGTCGCAGGATCTCCGTTCGCCTCTCACGGCCTTGCCACTTCGGCAGTCGCCTCACGCAAACGTTTGTCTTCTGTCCGACGGTCTGCGTCAGCTTGACTCGAACGAAGGGCGTAAATGGCGAGCGAGTCGCCAGCGCATGGGGCCCTCCGCGGTCCGCCTCAGGACGAAGGCTCTGTATGGAGCCGGCCAAATTCGTCTGTCACTCTATCAAACGACTTATTGGGCTTGTCGAAGACGAATGCGCGATACTGGACCGAGTCAATTGTTTGAGAGTGAGCATCGTGCGCAGGCGTCGAACGAGGAGACCAGCGCGTCTACTGCTGTCCGGAAATCGAAAAAAGGACCTTCGTTTGCAGCGGGGATAGCACAACCTTCGGAGCAGAGCTTTTTCCTGGACACCATCAAGAGCTTGTTTGGCCTTCTCTTTGTGGATCCTGGGGAGCCCATCTCGGACTCCCCGTTTGAGGATGTTCATTGCGTCTGGAAGGTAGAAGACTCAAGACTCGGGGGTCGTGATCGCGAGAGCGAGTGGACAACGTGATAGGCTACGCCCATAGACTAAAGGCGGCGCTGGCGTACGTCATACGCGACTTTCTCGCTTGCCCAGGACACGATTGGGAGCCCACCAAGAGAAAAGCGTCGATAATTCAGCGGCAATCCGGGCAGCTGAGACGCCGTGTCTGGGCCTCGTCGTACAGGATCCACATCCAAGCGAGCAGGCTGTGGTTTGAAAATGCAAGGGGGTGTGTAATGGTGCACTTCTTTTCGGGCTTGCAAGTTGACTGACTCTGTGTGCGGCTCTGGCCAGCATGCTAGCGACACTCGCGAGACTTTTTCGCTTTCGCTTTGAGCCATCACTCCGCACCCTGCAAATCAGTGCCAGATCAGCATGCGCTTCGTCTGGGGCTTACTTTGGCGCAGTCCTCATCGCCTTTTCGATTAATTCTCCATCACAGCTCTTCGGAGTTGGCAGCACTTGGCTGTCTACTCCACCGCTTAAAGCTGTAGACACAGCGCCACAATGTCTATGTCCATGAGCGTTGATGGCAGCAGCACAAACGTCCATTTCGTAGACCAGACCTTCGACTCTCTAAACAACTTCGTCGATTTTGATGAAGGGGGTCTATACGGCTGCACTCTCCACATAGCTGTCCAGGACTCACATGGGAGCTGCGACGAAACTATCAATGTGGGAGAAAATACGAGTGATGGTGCTACGAGAGTAAGAAACCGACATGCCAACTTCTCTTCAAGTAAAGCATTTGCACAACCCGCTGGCCAGTCCTCAGCTAAGAGCTCTTTGGCCGGGCAAGTCCTAGATTCACTTGGCAGCCAAGGTCGAGACCGCTTGAGGACGAGTCTCGTGCTGACGAAGCTATCCGGCCAACGCACAAGGACCCACAAGCCTACCGAGCCTGGCGCCTCGCCCCCAAAATGCATATGATGCTATCGTATGCCAAATATTCCGTCGTAGACCTCGAGTCTAGCACTCTTAAGCTAAGTTGCGCGGTGACATTGCTGCACATTCGAGCTTTTCGCGAGCGCTAACTCTCTAGCGAATCGTCTGTACTTGTCATCGAAACCGCAGGGAAGCTGGAGCGTCGAATTCTCTTTCGCGGCCCTTCAAGGTCAAGCCCTAGCTCTGATAACTCAACACTGGCGTTGGGCGCATATAGACGTGCTTGTCACCTCAGTAGCGAGGAATCAGCGTTGCGCGCGTGAAGCTTCTCGAGAGTGTGGCGCCCGCTATGCTGTTTCCTCGACACTTTTGCTCGGTTGGTTCGAATGAGCTCGAAGCACCCCACACTGCAGAGACTCATCTTCAAGGACGCCACCGAGATTCTCGCCCGGCAATGTAGCGCACCCTGCGTCACATCGAGCCTCAGATCCGCTCTTGGCATTCAACACGGCATGACCGCATCTGAAGGGCCAATCAACTCTTCGCAGGGCGCCCCGTCAAGATGCAGAAGCCGAGTGTGCCCGTTTTCGACATTGGCACTCGCGTAATCAATCAGGGCCGCACGCTCCGATGACTGCTACACTGGAGCGACTGTGCAGGCTCTGATGGCTTGGTCCACGATCTGGCGCTATTCAGGTGTCAGCCAGAAGCTCTTCGGTCTTTAACAGCTGTCACCTCTTTTTGCGAAACTCATGCAGGTTCAGCAGCGGACGCAACTCTCATCACACAACACTCAGACAGCAATGACGCCTGCGCATCCTCTTGGCCTGTCACATGACTAGGAACAAAGGCGCGTCAACGACTCAAATTAGATGAACGTCAAAGCAGATGACGCTTGACTCTGTGGAAACCACTTGGACGCCTACCGAGGTCGATCTCTCCGGTGACCCTTTAGCGAATACACGACGTCCACAGGACACTGTTCAAATCGTCGGTCGGACGGACAAGGACCTCCTGTTCCTGTGATGTCCTTCGTCGCCTGCCTTTTCGCAACATTGGCTTCCTGATCTTAGCATATAACGGCTCTGCATCGCATCTCTGAGCTATCTTCACCATTCGGCTCGATGCTGCTTAAGCTTCCGTCTGTTTGCGCAGCACTAGCAGGAATCTCTCCAAAGCGCACTGAATGGAGCGGCATCACGCCACTTTACCGTCCATTTACCCTCTCTTACGCCTCAGTCATTTCGCACGAAGCAGAGGCCGGCAGCCTCAGCTCAGTCCTTTTGTCCATCATATCCTGCTCAACGTGCCTTTCGATGACGCTGCAAATGGGGAAACCCGCCTAGTCAATGAATAGTCGCTCTCAAGGGTCGCGGCTCAAAGCGCGCCCACGCGACGAGGGGACACATACAAACAACGAGGGCAGGGGTACATAGGTCATCCCTGCAGGCTTCTTCGTAATTTCATCGCTGAATCTTGCAGAAAGCGTACATCATTCCACGAGCGCCGTCTTGAGCTTAGGACCACTCTGTTGTTGTGTGCCGGAGGAATGGATAAGATCACGCAACGCGAGCATGGTGCGCGTGGATGACCACGCCTCAAAGAGTACGCCTAAGATTTGCCGGCCGCTCCACATTCTTGGCATACTTGGCGCAAGTGATGGCGAGACTGTTAGCAAGACGACTCGTGGAGTATGTGCGAGCAAGACGAGGCTGGAACGGGCCACGCTGGCCGACTCACTTTAGCAGGAGCCGGATTGATGGGCAATAAGCTGACCAACTCAAATCATTTGCGCCTTCGTGAACGAGCTTGAGGGTCAAAGTCTGCATCCAAGGGTCAAGATGTCGGTCGGAAAATGCCGTCTGGCTTGTCTTTCTTGTGATAGGGCCTTGACGCCAGCGGTGCAAGTTGATGGCAGCATCTGTGCACCAGGTGCTGGGTGCAGGTCTACTTCCAGGCGCACCTTGAAAAGTGTCCATCGAAAGCTAGTCTCCATGAGCGTCCCCATCGCCTGGACCGTTCGAACACTGATGCTCGGCTGTATGCCGTATGCCGTCCGAACACTGGCCAGAAGAGTGAGTGATCCTAAGATGGACGATACTGAAAGCTTTGGTCCGACACTGAGCCCAGCTCCTTCGCTTCGCCACAAACAAGCAGAGCGCTCGTCAGCGTGCAACAGGATTCAAACCGTCTTTCCTAGTACAAACCTCGGGCGTGACAGTAAAGCTGCGGTCAAAAGCAATCGGTAGTCCCATCGCGCCTTCCTTTACCGCGTCTGGAGTCTAATGAAGGTTGCCTGACATGTGTGCAGGCAAACGCCACGGAATGTGTAGGTATTTCTGCTCTTCCAATCAGCGCGAATATGATGAGTTGGAACGTGGAAGTGCTATCGGTTGCAAACACATTCTTTTACGCTCGGGAAATCGCATGTGGCGTGCACAAGCGTATTCTGCCAAATCTCATTGCAGAGAAGACCGATCGAGATAAGAACAGGATGTTGCAAAGCCCTTTCTACTATCTTGCTCTGAAGGGAGCCTCGAGGGGACGGAGACGGGCAGATTTTCCACATCTCAGCGCGAAGGTTCACCGCTTGCAAGAAGTCCAGTACTGGGGTTGCTGTATGCTCTGCAAATTCGCCTCAGTCTTGTTGACGGAATCGCTGTGCCGATGTCGGGTGGAGCTGGACGCGGCTGTGCTGAATAGCTGGCCATACAAGCAGGGCCATCACGCCCGGCGCTGGTCGTTGAGACCGATGCCTTCAGGTGCACCATTGCATGGCAGCTCAGCCTTTATCTTGGTGGTCTCAAGGGGATGTTGACGGCTTTCGACCTGCCAAACGGGGACAAGTGCTGCATGTCTCTGCTTCAGCGGTCAGGGGGCCAGTCAACGCGTCAGCCGGCTTTTCGGCAACCCGGACAAGCGCGGCATGTATCTGGCTTTTTGCAACAGTCTATAGCCCCCTCATGCGCTCGACTCACCAAAGATGTGCGCTGACCGGTGTAGAAAAAGGTCTTTGACACTTTCATTCTTGACAGACCGCCGACATCGATATCAAACGACATGAAGTGGAAGGCTACGGAATAGCTGGCAAATCGCGAAAGGTCGAAGCCTGACGCGGTCCTACAACAGCCTTGTTGCTCGATGGCTCCGGACGGACCACAACAGGCATCCAAGAAGCGAATTCGACAATCGCATCGTCACAAGAAGATGAGCAGATCTTAGGTGACGGCTGCAAGCAAGATCCAATCGCTGCTGAATGGAACATGAAGGACACCGTCTGTCAGAATGCGCAGCGGTCGTGACAAGACTTCCAAGCCTTCGATCTACGCACGGGCTTGTTCCAACAGCCCTAATGTT